TATCTCTTTTGCCACTATGTTGCTCCCCTCACAAGTCAGATGAACTCCATCCCTATCAAACACCACTCAGCCAAATGAAGGATAGGAAGATTTGAACATTCTCAATTAAGATTTAATGGCATATGACTGAATGCATGCATACTTACGTGAAGCAAACATCTCTCCAGTCATCCCTTTTCTGGAGTGCAGACCACAGATCAATTGCCTTGATATCCATCTCGCGACAGAGCTCCAAACATGCTTCTGAGTATACTCGACAGGATTCATTTGTCCTTAATCGCTGCCCCGGTAAACTGGTTAAAACTCCAAAATATTACTCATCAGAGTTAAGATTTAAATATAAATACCAAAAAAAAGAAGAAAAAAAATTGAAACAAGGATGTTAAATGGTCTAGGAGAAAGTCATGGTCCTCGCAGAGTGCACGCGGAATATTTTGTACTAATACCATAGTTATTAAAAATGTCCTAGAAAGCAACCATTCATCCTCTGAACTTGCAGTGTGCTTGATGTATATCAATTCAACTGCTATTTGTTTCAAGTGGAAGATGTCAAATTTTAGATACAGCCGCTCTATGTTACTCAAGGTGAATCTAAGTTCTGAAAAACAATATAAATCAGATAAACTTTTGGTAACAGATTTTATTTATATAAAGCTAGATCTACTTCATGACTTCTATGGCTCAGTTCTCTGACTACCCTTAGTATTGGTATTTTGTTTGTCATTATATAATCATAGTCTTGAGTCTTGACCCATGTGCAGAAATCACAAGCATGCAGTTATCTGCCTATTCTTTTTGTGAAATTATAATAATTCAAAACGCAATAACCTGTTTCTATAAATTTGTGCCTCGTTGACAGGAGGGGCACTGAGAAATATAATGCGAGTCTTCTTTGAAAGGCTCTGGCAATCATAAGAACTTATGTTAAACTTGGCAGTACAGTAAATATAGAAGTGGAAATTCCGAAAGCAGTGCACAAAAAATACTTGAAGGTTGAAGGGTTTCATTCATATATAAGTGTACACAAGAAATACTTGAAGCTTTCATTCATATAATAATAAGTGTGTTATTTTAGAATGAAAGTTTACCTTGAGATGGACAGCAATCTTTCTCATATTTTCAATGTATTCTTGGAGAGGTACATGCTGACCAAGGCCACTTGGATGCGGAAGAAGAGAATCATTACCACCAAAGTACACAATTACCAATGATGGTTGCTCAGTGGCATTCTAAGTTGAACAAGAGGACAGAGCAAAAGGGTAATTCCTTGTTTGTCAGTCTGAGCAAGAATCAGAGTAATCATGATTTGCAAACCATAATCTTAAATTTAAAAAAGCTACAAATTTTTTATAAAAAAATAAAAAATAAAAAAATTGACGGGTACGAGTATGAATATACTTGATACCCAATGGGAAAGGGGATGAAGATGAAAATCACATACCCAACAGGTACAGGTACGGAGACGGAGATGAGTTTAACTCGCGGGGACGAGGATGAGTATTATGAAACCCATACCTGACCCACTCTGTTGCCATCCCTACTCACATGCTTCACTCCATTAAAACTTTGAGTATTAAGTTTTATCAATTTTGATGTAATTTTTATTTAAACGTAAATCATGAACATGAAGTCAAACATGCGCTTAGCTTTTTTTTTTTTTTTTTTTTTTTTTTTTTTTTTAAATTGATGTGTGATTTATTTTGTTTTAAATCTCGATCGGTCATATGAACTAATTTAAATCGTAACTTTAAACTTTAACTTGGTAGTTGGTTCATATATAATGTGACCTTGAAGTTGACACAATAGATCATTGCTTGCCATGAAAATTGACATGGCCGGTGATTAATGTATTATTTCAATCATGATGAAGTTGAAAATTAATGCTCAAAGTAATGATGATAACTTCATTTTTATTTATAAATTTTCAACTATCTCGTATATATGTCACATATGTTGTGATAGAGAAGTCTTATTAATAAAATATAAAAATAATTATGAAATAAGTAAATCTACAAAATTTCCTACCAAACTTGGAAAACAAAAACAAGCTATTATCATTTAGCTTATTTGAATTATTTTGAATATGCACAACTATCATTTCTCTTATAAATACAATCCAACCATAAAGTTAAATACTATATTATAAAGGTTCAATAATTTTTGCACTCCACCAATAACAGAACTTTTGGGAGGGGTTGTCAGTACTCTCCATAATTTTAGCTCCCCTCAATGAATGGCGCTTCTTTGTTATGTTCACTAATGGAGGTGAATCTAGAAGAGACTAGTTTCTTACAACATAACGAATTAATATTCGTATTATTATCAAAAGAAATACTTATATTTAGTTTTTGATTGTGTTTTCAATCAAACTTATCTTCAGAAAAGAATACATGGGTGAAATAGAAAAAGGTTTAAGTAATGGCCAAAGTTTCAATATTAAAAGTAAAATTATTCTGTTTGTATGAAAATTATAAAGGAAGAAAACCCAAAAGAACACAAAATCATTAGCCAAACCCAAATGATCCGTGCTCGAAATTTAACACGGTTTTGTTGATAAAGTGTTCAACCCTTTTCTTTTAAGTGCACGACAAGAAGGTAGGGTGAAAATGGTCACATGTTAATGGTGGGTTTGGCATTTTTTGTCGTCTTAAAGCTAACCCTATTCTTATTTTCAAATGCTTTGTATTTATTATGCGATACTAAAAATTCGGAGCTTGTCACTTACTCTCTCCAAGTGGAGAAGACGTGAAGAAAATAAATTTTGGTCACTATCAAGTAATCAACGGTGGAGTGACAAGGTTAAGTTTAAACGTTGAACACCATTACCAAATGTGATATGGATAATGATACTTTCACATTTGTTTCTTTGTGGGTTAATATTAAAAAAAATGGTTTATTTCTATCCCTTTGTCGACTTTAATTGTGAGTCCTCTACAGAAAACAAACAGAACAATGCATATTTTTCCCTTTTCTCTTCTCTTCTCTTCTCTTTCATTTTCCGAGCTAAGCAAAACAGAATTCAACCCTTGAAATTTTATGTTACAAAAATCAAGCAAAGAGTACACGGTTTAATTAGTTTCGCATTTTTCTACATTAATTCCACACAACACAATGGTTGTGTTCTATCTATAGCTTGCACATAGTTGTCCGTACCATTAAAATTCAAATACGAAAGAATTCCGTACTGTAGTTGGAAGTAAGCAAGTCAAATTTTGCTGTTGTTTGTTTATATGTCGGCACACGTGCCCCACAAACAAAATGTACGAACCTATTTGTACGACCACTACAATGTAGTTTCATAAAAGTAGTGACTTCTTATGCCATGATTTAATTATGTAAATTATGATCAAATTGTGATTTGAATTATAACAATATTCAAATTGACCCATACAATATCGGCTTATAAACTATTTTAACTAATTTATACATTAGTTTGAGGAAAATAAGTTTATTTGATACACAAATTTATTTTTATAAAACTACAAATTAACTTATAAAAGTAATCTAATTCTATAACATTTGTGTACGCAATATTTTCTTCTTCCGTGGATAACAATGCAAAGTAAATATGAAATGCACGGGTTCAATGAAAATAGCAACGTGGCAGCAAGAGCCAATGGTTGATTGTTTATAGATAACGTATCTCTTGAGAATCTAAATGAGGCACCAACATCCCAGTAGGGGGGTTCCACCAAGCCTTATAATTTTGCATGTGACACAAGAAGCCAAATTTACAATAAAGCAACAATAAATAAAATAAAAATGATAGTAGTACGTACCTTGAGCTACTTTACAACTAAATATTTATTTACAACTTGGTTCTTTTGTTTTGTTTAGTGAATTTTGTAAAATTGATTTTAAATTAAATTAATTTTATAAATTGTAATTGATTTTAAAATGAAGTAATTTATGTTTCATTATTTTTATTTTAAAAATAAGTCATTAATAAAATATGGTATATTTTTTTATTCAATGCATAAATTACTTAAAGTTGCTTCAATGTGAAATTAATTATGAATTTGGTGTATATATATATATATTAAATTTAAATTATAATTAAGATAAGATATGTATTTGATGATTTTCAGAGAAATTATAGCTTGCCTATCCCATTTTTGTAATATTGTAAGTTATGATAGTGTTATATTATTCCTAGTCATTTTATATTGTTGAGTTGAATTATTGAGAGACTCTAAGGCTTGAGGATCTCTTAGGAGTTTCATTGATGTTGTGATGGAACCTCTTGAAGATGATTGATGTTTCTTCAAGTTGAACCGACCAAGTCCCTTCTTCTCTTGAGGTTCTTCACGTCAATGGAGGATTGAAGGAGATTCAAGCTTCAAAAGCTTGAAGATGCAACCTAAAGAGGTTCAGTTTCTTTAGAAGGAGAGAAACTTGAGGAACCAAGCACAAAGGAGAAGTTCCTTTGTGAAGTTCTTAGGAGAAGGAGAATTCTCCACAGTTTGGACTCTTGAGTTGAGAGAGAATTTCTGAAAATCAATCTCATAAATGTTCAAAAGTGATTACAATGGAAGGATTTAGGATTTTATAGAAGTAGGTAGCTTAGGGAGCAAGCTAACATTAACCATGATTCACTAGGAACCATGGTTGGGTTGCTTGACCGTCCAAGCTAGTTAAGAGGCTTGTGGAGCAAGCTTCTCACTTAGCTTGCTTGGGAAGCAAGCTAAGGAGAAGCTTGTAGCACAAACTTCTCAAAGCCTTGAAAGGAGAAGAGAAATTTGGCCAAGGAAAGGAAATTAGGCAAGCTAGGCGGCCTTGGTCCATTTTGCTCACTTTGGTTATTTCAAAAATGTTTGATTTGGTTTAGTTAGGTTCATCCAAAAATGATGAGACCTAGCTAAATCAAATCTATGAAAAATTAGGAGTAAAATGAGTCCAATATGTAAAATTTTGCCTAGGCCCAATTTTGGCCTAATTACTAGTCACACCCTCAAGCATTGCTAAATGTCACCCCACTTCTACTACTGAAAAAAATAAATAAAAAAAGTGTACTTCAAAATTAGGTTCAATGGAGTCAAAGTCTCCAAGTAACCTACCCTATAAACAATATACAATGATCAATAAAGTGCCTCACAAATACAAAGGCAAAAATAAGCCTATACAAGGAAACTATGTACAAGTTATATACAATTAGAATTATGCCTTCTCTTCATGATAGAGTAGTCCAAATGAAGAGTACCTTAGGCTTAGAAAGCCCACTGGTCTTCAAGTTTTCCAATTCTTCTTGTATGCTTCTAGTCATAGCTCTAGTGATTGGGCCTTTGGCCCATGGTCCATCATGTTGAGAAAGGGTTTCTGTGGGCAGAGATCCAATTTGATATAAAAGGAAGAGTTTATAAAGTTTATGTTTTGAATATTGTTTTATAAACTTATTTCCTTCAAAAATCTAGAGAAAGAGTTATAAAGAAAGGGACTTTTGTTCCTGGGCTCTCTTTTCTCTCATTATTTTTCTATTCTTTCTCTGATCCTTATTTAAGTTATGTTATTTGTAATTCAAGTTATTAGGAACCTTGAATCAATCCTGCGATTGTTCGGAGTGTGACATTTCTCTTCTCCTTCTTCTACCTTGGCTTTGTGCTACTCGAGGTAAGGGAAGCTAAAAATTAGTGTATGCTGGATGAATTGAGGGTTGGTAATTTCTAAGTTATATATAGTCTAGAATCTCATTTGTGTGTGGGTGTGTTAATGAATTTGAAGTGGGAAGCATGTTAGAAATAGGGTTTTTGAGTTGTTGGCAATAGTCATTAATTCTTTGCAAAATCTTGTTTAAATGTTGAATTTGAGTATATTTTTGAGTTGATTGTGATGTATATACTTGTTGTTTTGTGTTGCATATGTTGGAACCTTGTTAGATTTTATGTTGTGACTCAAAATCGAGTTCTGCACATGCAGAATTCTGATGTTGTGTTGAGTGTGCATTCATAGCACCAAACATTGTTCTAACTTGAGGCCCTTTGTCTCATTCATGCTAGGCACAAGATTGGTGGTGTTGGGTGTGAGGAAAGAGACTCACTTGGGTTGACTAGGCATCAAGCATTGTTTGAATGGCATCAGGCTCGGAACCCTTGAGAGCTCTCTGACTTGGTGATGTTGGGCCCAAAGGTAAGTGGCGCCCAACGTGGCCAAGCTAGAGCTCTCTGTCTGAATTTCATTGGGTGCCAATGTGGTGATGCTAAACAAAAGTCAAGTCGAGACTCTCTACCTAAGATGGGGCTGGGTGTGGTAGTTTGCAACGATAGGCGTGAGGTCTTAAGGACCTCTACCTTAGCCACACTAAGCGTAGGTTGTGTAGGTCGGACATGGACAAAGCAGAGAGCTACTTGCTTGAATACTTATTATTTTAGTTGTTAAATGATGAATGAGTTGCAGAGATGAAATAGTATGTGACGATTGTGTAGTGGGTTGTTAGTTGAGAAGTAGAAATGAGGTGAAAGTTGTGTGTTGTGTTGAAAGTTGTAGAGTTATTCGTTGACTATGTAGTTGTGTTGAATATATGATGATGAAAAAGTTGAATATAAGTAGTGATGATTTAGTTGTTAGATATAAAGTTGTATGTTTATTTCGTTGTTGTGTTGAATATATAAAAAGTTGTTGTGTTGTTGAATTGTGTAGACCACTCAAGACAAGAGGGAAGGTTTTCGTAAGTTGCATATCTCATTGTGTGAATATTATGTTGTGGTGCTCCGAGATACCAATTTTTTGAAAACCCTTCTTGGGAAGTTGACCCTTAAAGAAGATATACTGATTACAAGTGACCAATCGAGTAAAGTACGTAGTCGAAAACTTAATTCCTAACCAAGTATTTGGAGGGTAGTCAGTGGACTAATCTTATAGGAAGCTTGGTTAAGTTAGCTAATGCCATGGTAGGCTTGTACCCAATTGTTTTACCTTTACACTAGTACTAAACTTCCTTGTTTAAGTGACGAAATATGAGAAATCGAGCTATTTTGTTTTGGATTTATATCCAATTTGCTAGTGATCTAGCAAGTCTAAAAAGATTATCTTGTGTTGTCAGTTTGCTAGGATTAAGCCACTTAAATTGTTCACCCTGTATTGTAGGAGATCTCCTAGTTGAAAGGCCTGACGTCACATGTAGTTGCTATGTTGAAATTACTGTGTTATTGTGATGATTAACCTATGTTGAGGATGTTGTGATGTTGAGTTGATGTATGTTGTTGTAAGCTAAGTTGTTGCACTAATATGTGTTGTATATTGTGATGCCTTGTGTTGTTCATGTTGTAGATGAAATGATGATGTGATGATGTAATTGAAGTAGTTTGATGTTTTGTATTAAGCATATATTGTTCCTTTTACTCTTTAGCTTACCCTTGTATGTTTCCATGTGATTTAAACTATGATGATCATATGTAGTATGATGGTTAGGCAAGGATGAGTCTAAAGTCATTATAATGGAGGCCATACAATGCTGTTGGAGCTGGATGTCTTCTAATGACTACCTAGTAGTGGTAGATCTGTATAGACATATGTAATTGCTTGACCGACAACCTAGTTGTATATTTACATTTACTGAATTATTGTATGTATATTACATATACTTATTTAGTTATTTCATCTTTATATCTTTGTGATATAGTACATACTCTAGTATCTATAAGTCAATAATCTTAAGTTAGATGTTTTTTGTTGTTAACTATGTCATACAATATAGGGATTAAGGTGAGTTATTACAATTTTTATTACAAATTCATATAAAAAATATAAAATATGAGATAATTCAAATTCAATTTTAGATGTTAACTAAAAATAAAGGAACTTGTAAGATTCATTATTATGATTTTAATATAAGACTAAATGTGTAAATATTTACTTAAATCATGTTAATCGACATTTCAACTTAATTTCAAATGGCTAAACTTGAAATTAAATATACATTTACACTTTTTTAACCTATATTAAGTATTAATATTGTTTTTATTCGACCTAGAATCTTACAAGTGAGAAAGTTCCTTCCAAAATGAGAAACTTATTTGAAGTTTAATGATAAACATATGTCTATTTGTAAATTAAATTGAGTCAACTTGATAAAGAATGAAAATATTTTCACCTTTACACTTTTTTTATTGTTAAAAAAAGATTGGACAAAAACAAACATTTTGATAACACTTACATTCACAGGAGATCTCCTATCTCTATAGACTCTAAGCTAAGGCATATTTGTTGCAAAAATAATTATACATTACAAGCTAAACTATCCTACACACTCAAAATATCATGGATGAAATAAGGGATGCCAAGGGATAGGTCAAAGATGAATTTTCCCCTCCTTTGTCCTTGCTGGCCGAGTTTGGATTTCAAATTTTAAAAAAGATGATTTTATGTTTTAAAAATTTATCTCCATTTTTATTAGATTTTGTTGAATTTGAGTGAACTCATGAAGACTCAACACAATTTTTTTAGAATTTTAATTTATTTATATATTTTTTAAAAATCAAATTAGAAGTTAACATCTATATTATAATATAATAATATATAAGAAATAATAAATAAGAATCAACTTATAAATACAAAATTTAAGAAATAAATTAACTTTTAATTAAATGCATACTTAATTATTGCCGTAATTTAAATTATTTAATTATTAAAATAATTTATTTGTGTTTTTAATATTTATACAAATTAAAAAATTAACTTTTAATATATATA